CCCATTTCTTCTGTGTAGCTGGTTCCAGATGGCTGCTGCTACCACCTGCTTCCCCTTCCACTGGGGAGCCCTGCCCCTCAGGCCTGGCTGCGAGCCGAGCCTGTCAGTTAATTTCTCCAGACTGGTTTTGTCACAGACACTGCTGAGTTCACCTCCCTGGAAGATCCTGAGGGTGGGAGAGCAGCTACATGTGCTGGTGAGGACCCACTTCTCCAGGCGGCTGCTTAAGGATGTGACGTGCCTGTTCACACTCGGATGAGTGCAATAAACAATAGTCACAGTGCAGTAAGCTCAGAGGACTTCAAAGATCGCCTCGCGTGCATTCAGTTTAGCACGAAGAGCCCTGAGTCTAGCAGTTATGGGACAGGCCTGGTCCCTGACAATGGCAAACCAGAAACCAGGCGTAAACTCCCGCACGTTTCCAGTGCTGACTCACCTGTACCTTGCCGCACAAATCCCCCCAGCCAGGTCATCTATGGGAAGTACGATTCTTAGCGTGTTCTTCCCCGACCTGAAGCTGCTGGTGACAGTCCGAGGATCACCAGCTCAGGTCATTACCTTACGCTGCTCCCCCTGGTCCTCTGACATGTGTCCTGGTTCCTTCCTTCCTTCTCCATTTGCAATGTCCCCTACACCTGGCCGGGGATGGGTCAAACCAGGTCAGGTCCTGAGCGGTGTACATGGGACATTTAAAGTCCCTGAGGGGCGACTGAATTATACGTGACTTAGTCAGACGCCTGGTTCACAGTACGAGCTCAATAAATATTGGCTGGAGATTGGGGGCATCCTCCACTATGGCAAATATAATAACGAGGATGATGATGACTGCAACAGCAAAGCAGAGATAACAACAGCAGAACAACAACCACAGCCATCGATCGAGCCACTGCTCAATAGCCACATGCCCTGTCGCATGTGAATGCCGTCAGAGTCTGCCCTCTGCTGCCGTTACTGTCCCAAGAGACTGAAGAAAAGGCAGAGGCTCGGAGAGATGACGTGACACCCCTGGTGCTGCTGGCTGCCTTGTCATTGATCCGTTCAGCAGACATTATTGGCAGCTACCACCTGTCAGACTCTGTCTCCGGCTGTGAGCAAGGCCCCTCCTCCCCTGGAGCTGACTCTCTAGCTGCAGAGAGCAGACACTCATCTAACCAATGAGATGAAGTCTGAAAATGAAAAATAAAGCAGTATAAAGCAATCAATGGTGATGGGAACTGCTATTTCAGAGAGGGGAGTGGGTAGCGGATTACTGAGGAGGTGACAGCAAAAGAGTTCTGACAGTGAACAAGAACAGTTCCTTAAAGTACAAGAGGGAGAATATTTCAGCAGGGGAAACAGGAAGTGCAAGGGCCCTGAGGCAGGAGTATTCTGTGTAACCAGTGGAGGAGCAGCTTACCAGTGTGTGCAAGGGAAAGAAGGCGAGAGAGAGGTGCGTGGGTTTGGATCAGTTAACTTTCTTTTAAAAAATATAATAGATATTATTTAACCTGGTTATCCAATCAACATGCAGTCAGTATAAAATGGTTCAGTTTCTATGCCTTTATAGCTAGGCCTTCCCACCCCAGGGTACTTTGTGATTGTAGAACAACTCCATGTGGCCACCAAGCCTGCTCTCACTCCTGTGCTGGTAGGTGGGTGTTAGTTTAATGCCCTCACTGTACTTTGACCTCTTCTGGCCCAGAGGAGAGGGCTGGCATGAGCATGCATCCTTAATTTTTTTTTTAAATTGTACTGGGAATTAAACTCAGGACTTTGCTCTTGCCAAGCAGGTGCTGTGCCACTGAGCTACATCCCCAACTCAAGCCTGCATCTTTGCAGAAGGTTAAGGTCATGGGAACATTTTGATGTTGAGCTCTTCACAGAGGAGGAAGACAGCTGGGTGGGTCACCCCCGGGCTGCAGGGTCCAGGACAGATGCAGCCCTGAGCCCAAAGGCCTGCGTGCTTCATGGGGTCTTGCTGGTGAGGGTGTGAGCAGGTGCTACCCGCAGGATTACTGGAGCCTCCAGGGAGAGAGGATAGCTGGGGGGAGACCGTGCCGCAGCTGGTGGCGGGGAGCTGGAGTGCGGGAGAGAGAGGAAAGACAGGCTCACCGCAAAGTGCTTGGCTGAGGACCTGGAGGAGGAGAGGCTGAGATGCTGGGAGGAGTGGCTGAGTGTGGGGGCCACAGTCCTTCCCCTCAGATGGGGAGCGTGTGGTGCCTGGGAGCCAGTGAGAAGACACGAGAGTCGTCAGCAGCTGGATATGTGCGTTCTCAGTCCCACGAAACCAAACAGGGACAGAGTTCTACCGCTCAGAGTCACCACCACATGGCTGGTATCAGAGTGACAGACTGTGGGATCCAGGATGGAGGGTGCTGGGCGGGAGACGGGGAGCCAGAGTGACCTTGGGGTCCAGTGGCTGGGGTGAGCTCAAGAGCTACTCCCACGGTCTGGCCCATGTGCCCTGTCTCAGAACTATTCTCTGGGGACCGTGTTCACGTGGTTGTGGAGTAGACGAGCCCTGGAGTCGTAGAACTAAGCACTGTGGACCCACTCAGAACAAGACAAACTGCCATGCCGAAGCGTGATCTCAGTCCTGCCGCTCCTAAAGGCAGCAGAAAAATGCCTGAGCAAAAACACCCCAAAGCGTCACTGCCAGCAGGGCCCCAGCACGCCCTGATCTGTAGGGGGATAAGGAGCAGTGCAGCTGGGTGCCGGTGGGGCAGGACCATGGGCAGGGACCTGGCCCTGCTCAGCTCTGCCACTGAGCTGCATGACCTCCAGCGCTTCATGCTTTGAGGACACCGCTGCATCACCTGGCGGTGAGCACTGTCGCACGGTGACCAGAGCCTTCACACGGCACACCAGACACTGAGGCGTGGTGCTGAGGGTCTCCTGGGCCCTTCCTCCCTGCCTGAACCTCAGCCTCTGAGCACAGGGCTCACGCTTGGCCTCACGCAGAGCTCGGCGCAGACATACGACAAGCATTTGTCAATGGAGCGGGTCACGCGGGGCGCCTCCTTGCTGGCCTGCGATGGAAGCCCGCCCACCTCGGTGACCTCCCTCCTGCCCGCCACACCCAGCTCTTCTCTCGGCACCCAAGCTCCCTTCATCCATTTGCTCTGAGCACCTACTGTGCGCAGCATTCCCTGGAGCAGCGATGGCGAAGCTTTGAGAACTCTCAGCGATAACAAACAGCCCTCTACCGCACGTGTGCCATAGGTTTGCCACCACTGCCCTACAGCCACACAGGCTCCGCCGCAACTCTGTCCTAAGGCTGTGCCTGTTGATCCTGCTGGCTTGGAGGTGAAGAAGCCAAGCATAGGTCCGAGAAGAAACTAAAATGCTGGAACAGAACAGTTGGGAAAGGCAGCCTGCGGGCCAGGGCACCTACAGAACGCAGCAGCTATGCCAGATGACGAGGTCCTAAATGTGCTACACTCAGATTTGTGTACAGGAATATCAGTATCCCGTGTCCAGGGGGCCTGGAGGGGCAGGGTGCAGGGGACATCAACTAACAAATGGAAAAGATGGTGGCGGTCAGGGTCTGACCAGGAGGGGAAAGGGGGACAACTTGGACGGCCCCCTTTGTTGGGCACAGATTTATAAGCGACCAACTACATGCCATAGATGTGATCTGTGTGCTGGGAGTAGGGGCAGAGACCCAGAAGAAGACCCACTCACAGGCAGTGCAAGCAGTGAGTGGATGGGCGTGGGGCGTGGGTGTGCTCCTGTGCCACTGCAGGTCACCCTCTAGCTCCTCCATCTCTCTCTGGTCAGCCCTCCAGGCTCTGATCTGCGGGGACTGTGGTCACCCCTGAGGGCTCGCTCCTCCCTCTTATACTTGACCTTTTGCTTCCAGTGTACCCCAGACAGGTCTTAGCTCTTAGTTCCTTTTTCCCAGCTGGAGGCTCTTTTGTTTTTGCTGGGGCCCTCGCTGATACACCGAGCCTTTTGAGTTTACAATTCTTTGGCATTCTTGGTGTCCTATGTTGTACACTTCCATCACGAACTAGGTCTTTAGTAGCTTTAGTTCTGTTTCTTCCTAACTCTAGCACGTTTTGCCACGGGGGATGCCCGCTGTTTGAGAAGAGATGTGGGTTTCTCCTGAGGGACAGCTGTTCCTGCAGCACCGGCTTGTCATGCAGGATCTTTCTGGGGTGTCTGGTTCCTCCACGCCTGTCACAGGACCACGAAGGGGCAGGCTGCAGCCCCTTCTCTCTGAGTCCCTCTCTTTTCAGCCGTTTCCTGCTTAGGTCTCAGCCGCTTGGCCACAGGCTTCCTGAGCGCCCTTTCCTTCCCAGTACTCTAAAGTGTACCGTTTCACCACGTCAGAGCCACGGCTTCAGAAAACAAGCTACCTCCCCACCTTAACTTCTAAGATTGCAGAATAAAGAGAAAGGTAATGCTCACTTTACGGGGAGGCTGGGAGTATCCAAACAAACTTCCTGCCCTGTAAGATTTATTGTCTTTCCCATGAAAGACGTCACGATGATAAAGAACAACTGTTTGCTTCACATCCACACCCTCCTGGGACTGGTTTCCAGGAGGTAAACATTGCTCTGAAACACCCAGCACAACACTGCCTGGGTGCCTGTCCTCGCCAGGGACTGTTTGAAGCCGGTTGTGTGTCATCTCATGTAACCTCCATGAGAACGTTATGTGGTGGAACCTGCTCTGCCCAATTTCACAGAGGAGGAACACTAGGTGCGGAGAAATGGAGCATGTGGCTAGGCCTGGGTCAGAGCTGCTCCCCGCAGAGCTGCCCCGAGCCCACAGAGCTAATGCTTCTGCTGCACAGTCTCACGCATTCGCAGTCCCTGCGATGTGAGGTGAAGACAAACTGGCCACAAAGGTGGATCACCGTGGAAATTGTGATGTGACGGAAACTCAAGTTTGCATTCCTGTGAAATTCTATGAGTAAATCTTAGCTCCAAAATTCACACCTAACTGCACATGGCAATCAACGCTGACCCTTAATGTGTCGTGGGCCAAGCCCCCGGGTCTGGCAGAGGACTCACCTGAGCTCAGCGCGTGCCCCACCTCCTGCATGATCAGGAACGGAGTGGTGGTCTCAGGCCCGCAGATGCCTTTGCCAGGCTGAGCGTCCTGGGCTGTGTTCTCCTTGGCCCCTGGCTCCACCGTCGTGTGGGGGGCGGCTGTGTGGCTGGAGCTGGGCTTCTCTGTTGGGGGTGCTGGTGTGGTGGGAGCCGCCGGTGCCTGGGTGCTGGGTACCTGGGTGCTGTGGTTGGAGGGGACAGAGGCAGAAGGAGCTGGAGGTGGTGGAGTTGACAGTGAGGAGGAGGATGAGGCCACATCCTGTGCGGATAGGGGTGTGGGGGACTGCCACCCTGTGGCTGGCATGCTGGCCCCAGGACCACCCAAGCTGTGTTCCTCTGGGGTGAGGGCAGAGGGGGTGCCAGCAGCTGTTGAGGAGAGCCCAGGGGCCGACGGGGTGGGGTTGGTGCCCTCCTGGCTGGGGGCTGGGCTGGTGATGGCCTCTTCTGTAGGCTCAGAGGAAGTGTTCTTGGGGAGCGGTGTTGGTGCAGCTGCCGTGGTGACCGGGAGTCCCAAGGCGTCCTGAGTGCTGCTGGTCGGGGGCACGGTGGGGACAGCAGAGCTGGTCGATGCGGAGCTGGTCCCGAGGGCAGCCACGGAGGTGGCTCTGGCCGGAAGAGAAACGGGTGAGGTCGGCCCACTCTGCGCCCTCAGTCCTGTGAAGGAGCCAGCACAGGGGTTAGTAGGGGAACCCACGAAGCAGGGGGCAACAGAAACGGGTGACAGCCGGACGCTGTCTCACAGCACTGTCACAGGGAGTCTGCATTCTGCATTGTGCCTCCCCGATTGTGAACGTGATGTTACAGCACGTTCTTCCCACCAACTACTCTGCTCTTGCTTGGCCGGAGTCAGGCAGAACAACTCATGGCCGGCAGCTCAAGGCTGGCTGGAGTGAACTCGCGCTGTCCATTTGTTTACACCAGTGTCCCGAGAGGTGAGGCCCCTCCAGAGGGACCTGGCTTCCTGGACTTCGGAGGTCAGCTCTGTGGCACCTGCAGGGAAGCAGAGCGGTGCATACCCGGGGGCATACATGGTGACTAACAGGGGCTGTGTGTGCAGTGCCCGCCCAATGCCCGCCAAGCCACGGAGCCGAGAGGGTGGCTGTCCCTGTCCCCTCTGCTGGATGCACAGAGGCTGGCCAGCAGCTGAGATGCAGGCATATGTGAACCTACTTCCTACAAAGCAGGAGACGGCGTGTCCCAGAAAGAAAGCCAGGAGGAGGAACCCCAGGTTTGGAAATACTTTTAGAGACAGGAATCCAGTTTTTTGAAGTTTTAACCTGGGGTTTTTATGCTCATATTATTTTGCCAAAGGTTCTCATTCATATTTTGTAAAACTTAGGGCTACTTTGCTTCGCTCCCTCCCTTCATTTACACATGAACTTTCATTCCTTTGTTTAATAAATGGCTCTCTGAGCTGCTCACCTGGAGACATGGGACTCAGGAGCTCGCTTCTTGAGGAACACATCTTGATTGGCTCCGTATACCCCCTCTCACACCCCAACTAGCCTTTTCGTCTCAGTGAATGGGACCCCCATCTACCAAGAGGCTCGGGAAAAACTGAGCTACCATCCTTTGTGCATCTGGGTCCCTCACACCTCACATCAAGTCCTTTGGAGCCACGAGGACAGACCAAATATAACCCCTCATCACTCCGTACGTCTGAGTCCATGGCCGCCCGCCTGGATGGGGGCAACGGTTTCCTGAACAGCCTCTGGTTTCCAGGCTGCTTGTCTGTGTCTATTGTCACAGACTGGAGAGGGCTTCTTACGGTAGAGCAGGTCATGTTCCTTACTGCCCAGAGCACTTCTACAGTGTCCTGTTATACTCAGAGCAAACCCCAAGTTTCCCCGGGAGCTCTCATCCTTCTGATGGGTCTCTCCCCAGCCACTTCTTCTTTGGAGGAGACTTCCTGGACAGTTCTAATGAAAATCATTTCCATCCCAGCTCTTTGTCCATTTTTTGAAAGGCTAAAATTAGTATGGTAAAATCTATATAACCACAGTTACCATTTTCACCATTTCACACACACAGTTCAGCGGCAGGAGGTACGTTCGCTCTGTTGTGAAAATCAGCACCACCACACATCTCCAGAACTTTAACTTCCCCAGCCTGCCTGCTCCATCATTCTGCCATGTGACAGACTTGGGCTGATGGAAGTCTGTGCTGCAGTGTGCATCCTCAACTCAACATTTGGATTCTCATGAAAACAGTTGGTTTATTTATTCAAAAGAAGTTCACTAGGGGATGGAGGCATAGCTCTGTGGTAGAGCACTTGTCTCGCCTGGCATGTATGAGGCCCCAGGTTCAATCTCCAACAGTGAAAAATAAGGGCTTAAAAGGAGTTGGTTGAGACAATTAACTACAAGAGAGTTCCTTTCGTTTCCTAGTAAACAGGAAGACACACTTCCCAACTTAAGGCACCTAATATTCATGTTCTTGCGGTCTTTTCACAGATGCCTTCTTGCAGTTTCAGGATGAATAAAGATCAAGAATCCTTGACATATGGACAAAACAAGTGAGTCAAAGATTATTAAAACACTGGATCTTTCATGTGACCATCGGAGCTATGTCCCGGCAGCCCCCACAGATGGTTAAGGATTCAGATTGGAAAAAGTGACAATGATTAACAGTGCGTAGCATCATATTTGGGAGACAGAGGCAGAGAGTGCCTCAGTTTGGCCACCAGGTTGAAGAATCTCTGCAAGTGTGGGCTAAATGAGCAATTGCCAAAGAGCACTGGTTTGTTCATTTATATATTGAGCAGCTTCTATGTCCATGGGGCCATGGCTTTGGCTTCAGAGAGTTTGCTCTCTAGCAGAACAGAAATGATATCTAACTTCCTCTAATTTGAAGTGAAAGTGCTTTATAAGAACGAATCCAAGTAGCAGTGGAAGCCCTGAGGAAAGATTAAAAATTCTGCAAGAGAACCACAGAATATGAAAGACACAAAGGTCATTTCCAAATGGCATTTAGGAAAGTCTCAGAGGAAATGGCATTTGAGTTGGTTCTGAAAAGATGAGAATGTACACGATGCTGCCTGAGATAGGCACGCATTGCCATTTGCAGTGCAGATGAAGGCTCCTCTATGGAAATCATTTCAGTGCTAAAAACGGATGCTCCAAGAGCTGGTGTCCAGGCTGGAGAAGTCCATTTCCTTGTTAATTCTTATTACTACTTTTATACTTCAACCTTGCTTGCTTCCAGTGAAGACTGGAAGTGATATTTCCCATGGCCACACACTGAGTAAATGTTGAAAGCCCTCTGCAGTCAAGTTCAGCCAATCTCGATTCCTCACCAACCAAGAATGTATGACAGCGTGCGACCGTGCTGGTGCTCATCCCTTTGGAAGGCGGAGGGAGAGACAGCAAGTTCTCTGCTGCCTCCTGTGAGGGTGCTAATCCTTCCTGAGGTCCCACTCTGGTCACCCCCTCGGGCCCTAACTACCTCCCGAAGTCCCCTTCGCCATGTGCCCCACAGTGGGGGCCAAAGCTTCGGGCTCAGAATTGCTAGGCCGCTCTGAGAGGTCTGACTTCTGCTCTCTCCTGCGCAGGACACATCTTCCCACAGGAACACCCAACTGAATCAGTCTCGCAGGTGAGCATGTACACTCTCCTAAGACCTCAGGAAAATTTCAGGGCAAGAAGTGGCCTCAAATGTGACTACAACCTCTCACCTGAAAATGAGGGAACAGAGATAGGAGGAGAGAACGTGACAGACCTCACACACCAAGAGCCGCGTCTGCTGGGAAGAATGTGCGTGGACCTTTCTCCAGCAGCCACCATGACAAAGCAAGCAGAAGGAGCCCACGGAAGAAGGGAAAACGTGTGGGGTCGCAGACACTGCCCCACCCAGAGCGAGCCGTGTGCTTCCCAAACAAGAATTTGCTTTAAAATTTCCTTGAGAAAATGGAAGCTAATGGAATGAAGAATAGAACCCACTCACCTCTCCCCCAGAGGCCGATGAGCACGGTTCAAAGCGGAGTGATGTTGTCCGGATCACCGTGCCCTGCCTGGGAGGGACAGGTCCACACCTGTGAGCAACTGACGCCAGGAAGGGGGCCTGCGACTGAGTCCGCGTGCACGGGCGAACCTGATGTGGATGCCTCCCTTAAAGTTGACAAATGGTAGCCCTGCCTTAAGCTTGGTCCAGTGAGAGTGTGTATGTGGCAAGCACAGCCAACAGGTCGTTGCTCTGAGGAAGCGCAGATTCTCCGTTGGACAGAAACTATTTGTTTCCAAGCACCGTCCTTCAGGAGACAGAATCACTGTTTAGATCTCTGATACTGGAAGAGGTGTGTTTGGCTTGGGCCCCTGGCTCTTGCCTTGTTAAGATGAGGGACTCGGGGCAGAGGGCCGGGACAGGCAGGCCAGCCCTCAAGTGCCTGGCCCTGCCCGGGGAGAACATGGTCAATGGTACTGAGCTCTGCCTCCTTTCCCTACATGCCACGAGCAACAACCAGGGCCAGTGCCTGTGTGTCCTGCGGCCTGCTTACTTGCGTTGCTCATTGTCTTGTTTTCAACCCTTGGCCTTGTCCTTCCCCGCCTTCCCCTCTCAAGGGCCTGGGAAATCGTGCGCCGCAGCTTTGACAAGTTTGATGCAACTGGATCAAAACGCACCAGGCCCCTTCCTGCTGTCAGGCCAAGTGCAACTGCAGCCTGTGATCTCCTCGTTGAAGCCCCGGGGGCACACAGGTTTGTGCTCAGGTGATCGTGGACAGGGACTCCACACTGCACCCACTGCGTGAGCTCCTGAAAAGGCCACTGGGTGTACGCACATGCTCACATCACACGCACATGTGCACACACACACACACACACACACACACACAAGCGGACGCACACTCTTAATGAGCTTGTGAGCTGAGAGTGTAGACCAAGCACTCTAGACACACCACCCGCTCTAGTCATCACCTGATCTCAAGGTGTGGCCTCGTAACTCCATTCCAGACAGGATTAGACAGAGGCTCTGCAAAGCAAGCCCCTTCCCTGAGGTCTCAGGGCTGATACACAGCCCAGCAGGGCTGCAGCCCTGGATAGGTTCTCTCCAGGTCTGCGCTCTAGGGATCCACTCCATGGCCTTTCGGTGGGAAGCACAAGGACGGCTGAGGTCAGGCCCCATGTTTGTGACGCAGCCAAGCCTTGGTTTTCCTGTCTCCGGTGTGAGCCTCTAGAACGATCTGACTGGACGGCTCCTTCCTTCCCTCAATCCTGTCACAGGCTCCTTAATGTCTTATGAGAACCCTGAACTCTGACGCATAGCACATAATGTTTCTAGTGACCCTGAGGTCAACGGGGCCTGAGAGCTGCAGGGATAGTGCAGCCCACAGCGTGGCGTGGGCCCCCCAACCCAGGGAGGAGGAGCCTGTCGTGGAAGCCTAGGCCCCTTCCCAGGCAATGTTGGTGGCAGTCACCTCTTCTGCAGGCCTCACTGTGCTGGTAGGATCTTCAGACCCAGACAGAGGGGAGGGAGGGCAGGCAGGTGACACGAGACGGTTTTGCCAGGGATGAACTCCAGCGAGGACAGCCACTCTATTCCTCAAGCCAGAAGCTGGGCTTCTCCTATCTTCCCCGTGGCAGCAGGCCATGCCCTCTGGGCTGGGTGCCCAGGTCAGCTGCCTGTCACTCTTCTGTTTGCCCAATAGAAACCAAAACAAA